CAGAGAGGTGCAGCAATACTTTTTTTAAAATCCTTCCTGGAATTCAACTCACCCAAGGTAGCTTTGCCTAAAGGTTACAAGTTGAGTCTAAAAGAGTAATCTATAAATCTCCCTAACTGGTGACCAGGGATATTTAATGCAGAGAGCTTACCTCACCCAGGAATATCCAAAACCTGAGAGGCCAAGGACTCCCAGTGTGAGGCAGTTTGAATTGTGGGCTTACTAACAGCAAGAAAGGTTAGAAGAAAAGCAAAAAACACTGCAGAGATGAAATTACAGAATCTTACAAAGGAAGAGTTGCTCCTGAGACAAAGGGAAAAATTTGGAGGAATGTGCACAGCAGGCAGAGAAGAAAACACGTGGAAGTGAAAATGCTTACAAAGGAAGAGTTGCTCCTGAGACAAAGGGAAAAATTTGGAGGAATTCTCCTCCAAATTTTCTTCTCTGCACAGCAGGCAGAGAAGAAAACATGTGGAAGTGAAAATTAGTATGAATGACTTGTTCTGCATATCCAGGACTGGACTTGGAATATCCCAGTGGGTCCCTTCCAACTCCAAATATTCTAAGATTCTTCATTCCTCTCCTTGTGAGAAACTGAAGCACCTAACACTGCCATGCTGTTAGATCCATTTTGACCACAAAATATCCCTGTCTGGGAAGTCAGTGTAATTATAGCAGCAACCAGGGTGTCAGGAAAGCATTCTCCATGATTAATAACAGGAAAGGGGGTATCCAGTGTGAGGAAAGTGCCCTTCCAGTGATCCTGCAGAGCTGCCTGCCCCAAGGACAGCCCTTCAGGCCTGAATAATGAGTAAGGCAGGCACCTGGCTGCCCCAAACTTCCTTGGTGGGCTAAAATTGTTTCCCTCCTCCCTCTTACACCCTCACCAAGTGCAAAACGCAAAACCCTTATCTCAGGGGTGAAGTGTGGAGAGCACCTGGCCCCTGTGGATGGGTGTTCTCTGCTGGGTTTGGACTCAAGGCTCAGCACGTAACATGGAGATTTGCAATGCCAAAGGAAAACTGGATCAAGTAACCCAACGTGTCATGCTGCTCCTACACTTAGCCATGACTTTCCCAGATCCCCAGGGCCGTGCACACGGAGCCACCCCAGCCAGAACACAACTGCTCACTTCCCTAGAATTAAACAAGCCAATTCATGTTTTTTGATCTAAGATGAGACATTTAAACAGATCTCAGATCAAAATATTTGATCTCTGTTTGATGTGCACACAGCCAAGCACTGCTCAGCAGACAAAAGATCCCATGTGAACTCACAGTGTCTTGGTGATGTCTCTGAGACAGAATCATGAAATGGTTTGGGATGGAAGGAACCTTAAAGATCATCTATTTCCAAATATAAGCAGCTATTGATACCCAAGTAGCTGGCATCATTAATTCCTACAACCAAGGCAAAGGAAGGCCAGAGAATTACATCAATTTCCAAGATCCTGTCATTCCTTAGAAAACTTTCACCTGTCAAAAAATGATGTAGCAGAAATATGCACTGCAGAGACAAAGGCAATGTGTGTGATGAAATGTGTCTTCCCAGTGAATGATAACTAAGATAACCAGCTGTGGTTAAGTCATGGCTTAACCAGGAGTCCACCCATGGATAATAAAAATCTGAAGACATTCAAAAAACAAATGGGAAAAACCAAAGCCATGTTGTTCAGGATAGAATAACAAAAGTCTCTGTGTGGATAATTCCATGGGTGACATGTCTCTGACAGCAACAGGGTTGAGTGTTTCAGTTTGCTCTTTGATATCAGCTGCTTTCATTGGAATAGGACTCTGGGACAGCCAGATCTTTTGTCTGAACAGTTTGTTGCTAATAACATATGAATCTGACTTCAGAAGTTCGTTTGGCATCTAAACCAGCAAATTAACTGGATATTTGCATACAAGTTATCAAATTTGTCTGTTGTGATAGCTAAACAGAAAAAAAAAATAGGTTCACAGTTACAACTTTTGTACAGTCTTGGGCTTGAGACCCAGCCAAAATAAATAATTAGGCATTAGAAGTTCTACTTTCAATGACTAATATTCACTATTCAGCTTAACCTGGGGAAATCTGTATGCTACTGAGAAAATTATGCTTCCTCAGAAATCCCACTTTTCGTTCACAATACATTCCATCACTGGTAAAATACATTCATTTGATGCACAGTGTGTTCAATAGCAGTTTTGTATTCCCAGCATACCTAAAGGAGAGAAATGGCAATTACAGTAATTTTATTCAAGTTATCTTTCCCAGCTATCTATTACATTACAAAGGTTAATTTGAAAAACAAGCAGGCCAGCTGTCTAATCTTATCTTCATTGATGTTGCATTATGCTTTTTGTTTGAAAGTTTCTGATTAGGTAATGTCCATAAAACAAATAGAAACCCTGAAAATACCTAGAACAAAAGTTCTGAATTGGTTTAAAAATACCCAAAGAAGCATAAAAAAATACCCCAAACTATAAATTCATCATAATGGCAAAAGTAAAATTACATCTGCTTCAGTAGAACTCTCCCAAAAAGTTTTGGCCTACTTAATTTGAGCATAAAATGAGAAGAATAAAAAAAAAACTGTTGATAATTTTACCAGAGCTTCAGCAGCCCCAGCTCCACCCAGGAGAGCTGACCAAAGCACAGTGCTGAACCAGGCTATCCCTCAGCTCTGGAATTAGCTCAGTTAACATGGAAATATCTCCCTGCACCCCAGTCAGGACAGGATGAACAAAGGGGGAGAACAGTCTTCTCAAATGGTGTCACTCTGAGGTGCAGGTTCAAAAAGAAACAGCAGAGATAATTTGTGTTTGGGACTAATGGTTTTTTTTTTTTGGTTTATTAATAAAAGCTGAAATCACAAGAAACCATAAAGAATAGAGCAGAAGATTTGAGCAGCAACATTCACATGAAGTTCTTATGAGTCTAATAAATGTCATTTGTTTACATAATGGAGAAAACTGAGAATGGATGGCACAAATGACGGTCTAGCAAACCAATTTTCCACTTGGATCAAGACTTAGCTTTTTTCCTCTCCTGAAATTCTGACACTAAAGCAGTCATGGAAAAGAACACTTGCAGAAAGAAAATGGAGCCTGTGAAGTTTTCACTGAGGTAAAATCATAAATCTAATCAGATCAACACTTTGCAGTGTTTTTGCAGGAGCAGCAACTACAAAAGCTACAGTATCACCATAAATCATCTGATATTTTATTGTCATAAACATCTGCAGCTCCTGGATATAGATATGTAGTCAAGGGAACACTTGAAAAGGGGTAAGGAATGCCAGGTACACTCGTTATGAAAAGTAATGTTCAAACCAGGATTTCTTTTGCTTTTGTCATCAGGACCTAACAGTTTATGAAGTTATGCAGACATTAATGGCTACACTGATTTATTGTATTTCCAAATTAAGGCCACACCTTCAAATCCTTCTGTTGAATCAACGCCAACAGACTGTTCATATTAGGTTAGGCAGATTGGAAGAACAATACAGTATTAAGCTCACCAAAAAAGCCCTAGACAAAGCCATGATTTCCAGCAGCAGATATTAATGTTTGTTTTGGGATTCATTCACCTGAGTAAATACTGAACTTCCAAAAAACACCAAGCTGCAAAGGGGTGAGCAAGGCAGGGCCCAAAGCAAGGCTCCTATGAGGAGATCCATCCACAGAGCTCAGCGTTGTTCTAAGCACAGGCAGAAACCTGGGTCCAGAACATGCCTGTGCATGGCACAGAGCCTGGGTTAATGCCCTGCCTTTCAGCACAGCCTGTTAGGTCAGGCTCAGTGCCAGCCCGACGGGCACTGGAGCAGTCTCTGTGCCATGATCCCCGAGCGGGTTCCGAGGGCAGAAACACCCACACATCACATGCTGCTTTGGCCACTCACTCTTTGGTTCTGCTTAAACCCATTGACCGCTCCAGGATGGAGCAGAGGGGCTGGGACAGGCCCTGGAGGGTTGTGACAGCAGCTGGACAGAGCCCAGGGTGCCCAGGTGGCCAAGAGCCGATGGCCCCTGGGCTGTGCCAGCCGTGGGGCAGTGACTGTTGCTGTGCTGGCACTGCTGAGGGAGCACCTCAGATCCCAGGGGCAGCTCTGGGCCACCCACAGCAACAAATTGAGGGGCTGCAGCCCCAGGAGAGGCTGAGGGAGCTGGGAAGGGGCTGAGCCTGGAGAAAAGGAGGCTCAGGGGGCCCTTGTGGCTCTGCACAGCTCCTGCCAGGAGGGGACAGCCGGGGGGTCGGGCTGTGCTCCCAGGAACAGGGACAGGAGGAGAGGGAACGGCCTCAGGCTGGGCCAGGGCAGCTCAGGGTGGGCACCAGGAATTTATAAACTTCACTGAAAGAGTGATCAGACATTGAAATACACTTCCCAGGGAAGTGGGGATGTCATCAGCCCTAAGAGAGTTCCAAAAATGCTTTAATGTGGCATTTGGGGACCTGAGTTAGTAGTGAACATGGCAGTGCTGGGTTGGTGCTTGGACTTGATAATCTTAGATGTCTTCTCCAGCATCAACTGTTCTGAAACTCCTGTCTCTTCTGTCTCTCAACACATAGACTTCTCCCTCTCACAGTTTTGGAGACTATTTCCTGACAGAGATGGCAAGCAAACTGTTATCACTGCCTGTCCCACATTTAGCAAACACCTCCCCTACTTCTTTTCGTGCAGCTTCTCACAGATGAGTTTTTCTTTTGCCCATCCAAAATTTATTACTGGGCAAAAAGAAGGCACTTCCTTCATGCTTGATGATCTTTCCCTGAAAGAGTGGTTCCCACTTTTGCTTGCATAGTTTGGGACATCAGGACAGGCCAACCACAGCTTCAGTGGCTTTTTTCCATCCTAAATTTTCATCCTTTCCATCATAAGTTCCTTCTTTCCACCCGGCTCAAAGGGTAAATGCCTAAAGACACTGCTGCAAATCCTCTCTAGTTTTGTGTTAATCACCAAGTTTCGCTGCTTTAACTGGAACCACTGCTGGCTAGGAACGAAACAGACAAATCCTTACCCTCAACAGCCAGAGAGACGATGCCCTGCGTGTCCTCCACTCCGTACATGACGTCGCAGCGATAGACCCCGGCGTCGCTGGCGCGCAGCTTGGAGAAGGTCAGCGAGGCGTCCCCGCTCTCCTCGGAGTGGCTGGGGACAGACACCCTGTCCTTGTAGCTCTGGCCTATTTTGATGTTGCCATTCTGGGCCACCAGGACCGTGGTTTCCTTGGCGTCCTTGCCGCTTTTGTCCAGTTCCACCTTGGACCATTTGATCCGGAGGTACTCGGCAGCGTAGCTGGAGGATATGGTGGGTGTGGTTGAAAAGAAGCACGGCAGGACTGAAGTTCCAGAGAGAGATCCCTTGACCAGGGTTTTTTTTTCTGCTTTAACTAGAAAAAGGGGAGAGAGCGAGGAGAGAGAAAGGAGAAATCACGTTAATGTAACAGCAAAATCAGAAACAGATATATTTCATTGTTAACTAATGATTCACTAATCCAAAGCCTGAAATCCATGAACCTTACTTGATTTGTAACAGGACTGGGGAGTACAAGCTGAAAAAAGAGTTTGTATCAATCTTGGTACATCTGAGGCTGATGATTGGGCACGTTTCTCTTTGGGAAACTTTCATTCTGATTCATTTTCTCCATTTGTTATGGTCAATTTGGGAACTGGTCTGAAATTTTAGGTGACAGATGAACTGTAAGAGCTATTTCTTCAATTCACAGGAGGAAGACCACTCTGAGGGAAAATTATGAGTTACCTCACTGGCCAAAACCCTGAGCTGCTGGAGTTCACACCTTGCCTCACCTCAGGGCAGCTGTTCCTGTCCTCAGAAGGAAACACAGCCCATGGCTTTGCAGCCCTGTCACCCCTGACCCCACTGTTCTCTCAGGGGTTAAATCTTTTTATTGCACACGTGCTGAAACAAAAGCCTTTCCATTGAGAGTCTCCCAAATAGCCACTCTTTCAAAGTTGCTTCCTTGTAGCCTCCGGGCCTTTAACACATTGCAGAAATGAAATATTTCAGGATGTAAAAGCAAAGGAAGAAGTAAAGCACGCAGAAAGTCCCTACTTGGCTCAGACTTGACATGATCAGGACTTTTATCATTTTTTATGGTATCTCCAGCTGCAAACATTTCAGAGTGAAATGCTTCCATCTGACAATATCCTGAGGGGGAAGTTGACTACTGTTCATCCAAGCTGCACACTGTGACTGAAAAGAGGGTTTCTGATGGATTTGCCTTTTTTATGTGATGTTATTTCATCACACGTAATGGCTTAATGAAGATTAAAAGCTGATGCTCAACAGTAACTGTTTTACCTCTTTCACAGTCCTTCTCTCTAACATTTTTGAAAGGTAGAGCATAGGCATCATTATTTTGAAAGGAGTTGGGATTTATAAAGCTTAGAAATATAAGAACTTAATAATAGCCATCAACAGAGTGATACATGAAACAGGAGACACCAGCACATGAAAATTATCTGTTTATCTATGATAAAAAGTATAATCTCTCCATAAGGAGTAGAAGATTGGAGAGTAGGATGGAAAGGTGAGCAGAGGGAGAGAATTAAAGAAGAGTAGCAAAAAGGGAAGAGAAAAAAGATGAGGAAGAAAAAGAAAAAAAAATGGAAAAAAAAGAAGAAAGAAAACAGAAAAAAGAAATGGGGGAAAAAAGGAAAATGGAAGAAAAAAGAAAAGCTGCTCATTAACCTGATTTTTTAACAGAGACAGGTGATTTTCCACAGGACAAAGTCTTAATGGTATTATCAAAATGGGTTCAATACAAGAGTCATCTGCTTAATGCCCAAGCATTTTAATAATAAAGGACTAGCCAGAAAAAGAGAAAAATGGGCTGACAGAGAAGACACAGAATTCTGAATTAAGTTCTTGGGTCCTTTTCATCCATACCTACCCAACTAGAATTCCTTGGGCACACAATTAAAAAAGAGTCAAAATGATGGCATCAAAGCTGATGAAACCAGAGATCTGTTATATTGCCTTTATTTTGTTGAAACTTCACAGAGCTACAGTGGTTAGAGATAAAGAAATAGAATGAATTCTGAGTTCTATCAGTTGCGATGGAATTACTGCCAAATTGCACAGGTGGGAGATTAAAATCAGTCTCAAAATATTTAGAATTTATTATGATCTCTTGTCATCTGTACACCTTACAGGAACTTTCTTCTTAATTGAAGAATGACTAAATTATAATTATACTGACTGACAGAACTTTAAAAAACTTTGTAAGAACACTGTTTATGATTAAGAGTGATCTGGAATATCAGCGCTGAACCCTGAGGAAATTTCCTCCCTTTAAAATTTGTGTCCTCACATCAGCCAGCTGGAAGCCTTGGCAAACAACACATTTCATCCTGATATGAAAACTAGATCCAGCCTAAACTGTGCTGCTTCCCAGAACAGAAGATTCTGTGGAGCTGCAGTTCTGCCCAACTTTAGAAAGCATTATACCACACTTTACAAAAAACGATTTGTTGTGGCAAGGAGAGGGAAGAAGGAGAAGACAAGAAGAAGGAGGAGAAGAAGGAAGAGGAAAAAGAGGAAGAGGAGAAGGAGAAAGGAGGAGGAGGAGGTTTTTTCCTACAGAAAAAGAAAATATTTGGCTGACATAATATCTGAAATACAAGACTAAGTGATGTTCCTGCACAGGTCCAAAAAGCTTGATGTCTTGCAGCACACCAAATTAGCTAGGGTAGCAGAATTTACTGACCAATGCAGAAGTTATCAGTATCTCATATTAATCCACATAACCCTTTTTTTACCCCCTTTAGTATTTCTGATAAGCTTATATTCCATGTCAGCCCCTATCAATGGAATGGTGATAGGCCAATGACACACAGCTGGATGTCTTCCTTTTGAGGTAGGAAGAAAGGAATTCTTGCTTGAGAACAAAGTCTCTTTCTCCAAAATGTGCACACTTGTTCTGTGGTAAATGTGTACAAAATCCTTAAAGTAGGAGTCTAGATAATTTTTTAAAAGGACAGAATTCTGCCCTTCTGTATCACATTAACCACAATGACCAGGCCAATAGGTCTCCAGTGGACAAGGAGTCTGAAGAAAAGAGTGCCCTGCATGGAGTGACACTGCTTGGAGGAGTGAATTTGCCACATAATTGAGTTTAGCTGAACAGAATGTTGCTACTGACTATGCAGATAAATCCCACATGCTTAAAGAATAAAATATTCTATTTATTTTTAGATAAATTTATGAGGGAAAAAAAAAATGTTGCATGTCATTTTTCAGTTCATCAACAACCTGCTGGGACATATGGTATATTGCCCTGTCTAGCAGCAGAAATAGAAAGGATCACTGAAATTGTGTGTTTTGTCAATCTAGCTGCTAGCACTGAGCCTAGGAGAAGCTTTTTCATTAACCACCAGTCTTTTAGTGAAGATAATAATGAATTAAAATGAGTGAAACTTGTAGGAAACACTGAAAGGTAACAGACTGAGACCCAACAATAACCTGAGTCCTTTACTTAGGTGGTTTGTGGTCTGAGCAAGGAGAATAAAAGAAGGACACACAGAATGATGAAAAATTAATGTTATAGTCTACAAGACACTCACAAGGAGCCAGGCAAATGTAAATCTCAGCTGCAGAGCTCAACACCACAAATGGCCACCCAAAGCAGGTAGGAAAAACTCCAGTGTCGATTATAACCACAAGGCCCACAACAGTGATAACTTGGGAATTGGTGTTTCACAAAAGATTTAAAGGCTTCAATTTTAAATCCAAACTAAGGATTCAAAAAGAAAATGTTGAAATGTAGGGTGTCTATCTCTCAGAATGCTGAGATACATTCTATTTTTAGAGTATTTTTAAACAGAAGCTGTACTTATAAAGATTGTGTGTAGTCTTCCAACATTCATTCTTAAAAATATTATTGCACCAACTGCCTTTTCTACAAAAGATATGGACATGAGTTGATGCCACAGATTCTTTGGGATGATGATTTAGATCAATTCATGAAAAACAAAAATGTTTTCATCCTTGTCCTCCTTACCATGGCCATTGTTTGAAAATGGTTACTAGTCTGTAGGCCAAAAGAATGGCCCCCGACTTAAAAAGTAAACCCCAGGCTGGGTCACAGCCTGATCTACATTCCAAAGAATGGGACATTCATAAAAATCTCCCAAGTACCAAAAATTCCACTCTGGAGATAAATGAACCATTTATGATGCAATAAAAGGTGGAGTAAGTGAGAAGACATGTAAAGATGCCATCCCACACTCTACAACTCCAAGGATCCATGTAACTCCTCCCCACTTAAGACTGCTGCCCTCTCAACCCCTGTATCCCTGAATCTGCATTTGTTCAAGGCAGTGAGTCAGGTCTGTGGTTTGATCCAGACCCTCCTTCCTCATAGCCAATCTAAATCTATTATCCTTTTTTTTAATTGGTTCCACTAATGAATCAGTCCTTGTCTTTATCATTAAGACTATTTAAACATGTTACTAGCAATAGTGTTCCAGATAGGTGGGAAAAAAAAAAGTAGTAAATTTGATTTCCCAAAGGCAAAAATCAGTTTGAGGAGTACCTGGAAATAAGAGAGAAAGAAAATAAAGAAAAATCTTCCTTTGAGACTTGGGAAAGCTGTTTTCCCAATTTTGTGAGTCTGTAGCAGCTGTTGGGATATTTTCCATACTGAAGGCATGACCCAAACTTTCAAATAACCAGGGCAACCACACATGGATACATACTTCAGTCTTGGCATGTAATCACCAAGAGAGGTAGTAAGGGCTCCTTCCTTTCCACCCAAACCTGCAGCTGCTCTAACACCTCCTTGCTAAAGACCCCAGCAGCCAAGGGATCTGCCCCAGCTTAGCTCATGGCAGCCCAAGCACAACAGGAATAAATTATTAATGTCTTGAGGAGAACACAGAAACAAAATTAGTGACAGGGTGCAGTATTGCAGGGGCAAAGAAAGACAATTTCCTGAGTTTGGGCTGTCTCCTCAGTCCTGTGAAATGCCCTACCAATTAGATCACTAAATTCATTTTAATGAAATGTTCTATGTACAGAAGACTTACCTTTAGGTAGCATATATGTTATAACTAACGTAGAGTACATCCATAAGATACTTTTTATACTTAACAACATCTTGACCTAGAAATGAAGAACAAAGGAGCAAGTGGTTAGTATTGCACTGTGTCCTTAGCAAATGTTGTAACTTAGCACATCAGTATTTGTCATTGGTATCAGAGCAGTCCTTCCTGCTTTCAAGGCATTTTGATTTAGCAATTTATGGTGGAGAGTTGTTATAATGACCATGAGCCTCCATGGAATACAGATTTGTAATGGGTTTCAGGTTGTTGAGACCTGAGTGATTCTCTGACATGTCAGTTCCCTTTGGTTTTGTCTCACTTTCCTTTACAGGCTCCACCATCCAACAGCTGGAAAGCTCTTCACATGTATCATATGTAGACAATAATAAATTGCATGTTCACAACATTATTTCTCAGTTTTCATTTCTGTTCATAGTTACACACGTTGAACCTGTAAATATCCCCAAAGTTACAAAAGCATTGCAAGACACACAAACACCAATGACTACAAAGGGTTTATAAATAGTCCCTCAGCCATACAGTTACATGCATGTGCTATGAACATCCCAGCATAATAAATTACTTTCAGCAGCAATTTGTCCAACCACTGACAAATTTTTATCACTACCTTGATTTTCCTGATATTGCTGCAAAATCTCTGCCTGAGCTCTTCACTAGGGCAAATAACCAAGCTGACAGTTTTTTCCTGTTCAAGAGAGCGTGCAGTTGAACTGCCTTAAGGATCAGTGAAGGAGAGATTTAATAGATATGTACCTGTCTGTGTTGTAATCATGGAACCTGCACTGCACACATGTACAATTTAAAACTTCCACTGTTAAAAACTCCACAGGCTGCACTGAACATGACAGCAAAGACACACAGAGAGGCAACTTCAGAAAACTCCTGGTGACGTGTTCAACCTCAGAGCTCTCTGCACAGCTCACAGCTGCAGCCCAAACTCCACAGGAGTCTGTGTGAACTGGCACACATCCTGTAAACGTCTGAGCAGCACGGGAAAGACGCAAAACATCTCCAACCAAGCCTTTCCAGTGAGGCAAGTTCAGAATTCCCACCCAACAGGGCTGAAAACCCCAGAGCCTTTCATTCCCTCTACATGGATGGTCAGAGCCAGCTAGCTGCACAGGGAAACATGTGCTACAACCTATTCCCTGGGCGTGGAGGGAGAAATGCAGCTGCTTTCCACAGAGCAGGCTGCACGCTGCCAAGGACGCCCCATCTCTGCTGCAGCCATTCAGGACAGCTGAGTGTAGAGTGTGATATCACTTATTTTGCAACATGAACTTCATGGACTTTGCACTTTTCACAACTGAGTCCCAAACTAGAACCGGGACTTCATTCAGTTGAAGTCCTTCATGCCATAAAACTTCTTAGGAAGACCCTAACACCTACCCCCAAAACCACTCGGCCAGACTTTTATCTCTTCCTACATTTACACAAGCCAAGCTGCATGTGAAGAAAACAGAAGTGACTATTTATTAGCTAACTTTTAAATTCCATACTGTGCCCTGGTGCAAACTCCCCGTAGAAGGCTGTTATGAGTGAGAGGTTGCACAAGACCAGAGCTGCAGACATCCAAGACCTCTGAATGCAAAGGATCAGCTCTGAAATACAGTCACAGGCTTGCTTAGATAAACAAACAATTAAAAGAAAATGTGATGTCAGCCTGAGCCTACAGATGTGCAGAAGGACCTTCAAGCAACCCTTGTATCCCAAGAATGCTGGAAGCCTCAAGCACCAAAACCACTGCAGTGAAGCTCCTTTGGTAACACAAGAGCTCTGATGAGAGCATGAAAAGAAGACTGACTGGAAGAATTCTCCACCTTCCAAGGTGCTGAGTGAAGGACCTGCCTGCCAGACAAAGTTCTGGCCCCTGTGAGAGCTCAGTGGCTCCAGACCTTCTGAGATGTGCTGCCCACATGTGCTCCCCTGCGTCACACACTGCCTGCATCCACAGCGAAGCCAAGGTCCAGAACAGAATGTTTACAAGTTTAGCTCTCCATGTTTACCCATAAGTTTTATCTCCCTCCTTCCCCTGAAGGCAACCTTGGCTTTTGGGACCAGAATCAAGGGAATCAAAGAAACCTGACAAGAGAAAGAACAAAGTATTTTCTTTTTCACGACAATGGGGGTGTTGCACCTAAACAGAGCTGGTTGCATTTTGCACCTGGCCCACTTCCCTGGCTCTGACCTGGCATACCTGGGTGCTTGGCACGTGTCAGTGGAAGCATGTTGCCCTTGGAAGTCCACTGCAATTGCTGTCATAACACAAGTGCTTCCACGTTTGGTAAGAACACAAACCCTGCTGCTACGCTTCCAGTCACCAAACACAACACACACACCCACAGGGACAGATGAAAACAGAAAGGCGACTGTGGAAAGGCAATTTTCAACGTATCCATGGGAACAGAACATTTCTGGATGTGATGGCTCCTAGCCTTTTACGGAGTAGGGCAGGGATTACACCTGCTGCACCAAGGGCTTGGATAGCTCCAAAAAAAATTGCACTTTTGGTTGAGCACAAAGCTTAATATGAGACATTCACCAAAAATCCCTACCTGACTCTTGGAAAACCACCTTCTGACTTTTTATAAAATCTTCTTTATCCTGAAATGCTCACTCAAGCAATGAAAACCCTGGGGAGAATGGTGTGATGTTCAGCCCTAAGGGTCAGGAATGTGACTCCCACACAACCCTCCACACCTGAGGGTTGGTTTTCATGCTCCAGACTTTGGTGAGTTCCCATAAACACTCCTGGGTTGCCCAGTGCTGCTCCACTCCAGCTGCCAGAATTAAATGTGCAATTACTCCTGCCTCCCTCTCCAGACATGCAGACCATAACAGCAGCACCTTGCTCAGCCCCACAGGGCAGCCTGGCTCAGGAGGAGACAGAGCTCTGCAGACCTGGTGCCAAAAATCCTCCTCAGGACCCACAGGTGAGGCAGAGGTTGCTGCTTACACCTCACCCCAATTCCCACCCACATTTCCAGGCTCTTGGATGTGATTGCAGGGGACTGTGCTCTCCTGCAGCCCTCAGAGCTAAATCCCTGCTCTAAAACAGGTTTGTGTTTAGCATTCCTGCACCCTACAACTCACAGAAGTCTGCTGTCTGGCTGCTGTACTGCCCCTAAATCCACTGCAATTAGCCAAAATCTATCTAACTATACCTTTTTCCACAAGATTTTTTTTTCCCCCTTGGTGTCACTACACCCATAGTAAAAGAAATCCATAACACAGCGAGCAAATCTTGCCAACTCAAGCTACAAGACTTGAGTAAGTGTTTAATTTCCACCTTCTGCTAAAAAAGTACCTCACTTGACGTGACCAAACTTGGGCTGCCTGCTGGCTGGTTTCCAGCTGGGCTGATCCATTTTATTAGGAGTTGTTACAGGCAGATGGACCTACAGTAGGAATTTGTGTTACATTTCTAAATGGGACACAGCCCTGAGTGCAGCATCTTTTAACCAATAGATGCAAAACTCCTGGACAAACTTCACATCTTTAAAAATTAGCAGTAGGGGTTCTCTCTGTGGGGAAAGAGAGAACTGTCCTGTTTTTGCAGGCGCTGCTACCTTCCCTTACTACAGCAAAAACTCATAGGAGCAGTAAGTTCTGACCAAATTCCAGCTTGTGTTTAGTTTGCACTGTAAGCTTGATCTCACACCAATGCTATTTTAATTTAACCAGATGAGAGAACATCATGTCTCCCTTTCTGTTTAAAACTTCAGGTTCAGAAAGCAAATTGTTCTGGTGTGGAAGAGACTAAGGCTTACAATCCAAAAATACTCCTGGTTTCTCTGAAGCTGAGAGAATGAGGAATTTGCCATATTAGTCATTTTCATAGAGGTAACAATGTCTATAAAACCTACAACTTCTCAGGTCACACTGAGACTGGTTCTGCACATACTCTACAGCTGCATTGTGAAATCTGGATATGTTCCTTAAACACGTACAAAGCAGCCTCTGCCCATCTGACCTCCATAAGGAAAGTCAGCATGACAAAAAAGATTAAAAAAGCAAAAAAAAAAAAAATAAGAGGGTGGGACCCAACAGAACCCAGCACTAGAGAAGAGAAGGAAGGCTGCTCATTCTAATGGGTAAAACAGTAAATTACAGTTTCCAGTGGAACCCCCAAAAAGGTAGAAATCACCAATCCCAGTCACAGAACATCCCTTGCTACCTTCCAAGCTCTGAAAGCTTCACAGGTACCATCCTTCCTCAAAGGCACACATTCTGCACTTTGCTTTACTTCTGCAGTCCTTTGATCTGTTAATTGCTGCCATGCATCCACCTCACCATCAGCCCTGTCTAATTAACTCTGCCAGCCCCACCACCTCTCTGCCACGTGATTAATTAGCCCACTGTGCCGACACATGGCACATCAGCCTGCATCCAGCTCACCAAGCCCTTAATCCCTTGGAAAGGGAAGGCCTTGGAGGTTTTTGGGGTGTCTGCATCACCTCTTCCTCATCACCTCCAGCAGCTGTGGGGGGAAACTCCTCCAGGCTGAGTCCTTGCAGTGCTGCCTGCAGGCTGGAGCACAGACAGGAGCAGTGACCAGAGCACAGCGTGTTCTGGCTACAGCAGCTGCTGCCTCGGGACATCCCTCACAGCTCTGTGCTTGCATGCCAGGAGCAGCTCCAGGCTCTGGGACAGCCACGCAGAGACACAGTGGAAAAGTGCCAGAGGCAGCGCGTGGAGGAGCAATGAGCACACCCTGCTCCTTCTGCATCATCCCAGCTCCACCTTGTCGCTCCTGCCTTCCAGAAACATTGAATATCCCAAGGTATCAGCAAGTCCCGTTGCTAGCCCTGCACAGGATACTCTGACAATCCTATGCTGTGTCTGAGAGCATTGCCCAGCCACACTGACCTTTGTCAGGCTTGATTCCAGCTGAGGGTCTCTCATGCCCAGCTCTCTCAAGCACCTGCACTGCTGAAGGGAGCAAGAGGTGGAAACAGTGTGAAGGTGTCACTCCTGGCACCCCGCACTGCCGTTGTGGGGTTAGGCACCACGGCAGCCCTGTGGGCTCCAACAGGGGTTCTTCAGCCCTCTTGGAGCTCACCCAGTTCTGCTGCTGGGCACAAGGGTGGCTGTGGGTGCCCTCAGCTCGCTCTGCCATCCCCACAGCCCTCAAGCCACTCAAGCCCAGGCACTGAGGGATGCCCAGAGTCGGAAATGCATCAGTCACACCCTTCTGTCCAGCACTGCCCATCGGGCCCTGCCTGCTCCTGTGCCACAGAATGACAGACTCACAGAATGGTTTGGGCTGGAAGAGGCCTTAAATATCACCCAGTGCCAGCCCAGCCATGGCAGGGACACCTCCCACTGTCCCAGGCTGCTCCAGCCCCAGTGTCCAGCCTGGCCTTGGGCACTGCCAGGGATCCAGGGGCAGCCCCAGCTGCTCTGGGCACCCTGTGCCAGGGCCTGCCCACCCTGCCAGGGAACAATTCCCCATTCCCAAGCTCCCAGCCATGGCTGCCCTCTGGCACTGGGAGCCATTCCCTGTGTGCTGTCCCTGCAGGCCTTGGCAATTGTCTGTGTCCATCTTTCCTGCAGCCCCTTCGGGCCCTGCGAGGCCACCCTGAGCTCAGCCCAAAGCTTCTCCTGCCCAGCTGAGCCATGGCAGCTGTGCCAGCCTTTCCTGCCAGCAGAGCTGCTCCATCCTCTGCCCATCCTGGAGCCTCCTCCGTACCCACTTCTTGTGCAGAAGACTCACATGGCTGATGGGGAGTGCGAAGAACAGCGGCTTTTATCGAGGGGGTGTTGCGTATTTTAAATTATTTTATTACGGCGGTGATTTGGGGGGATTTGGCTTTTTTTTCCCCTCACGCTGACGGGCCCGAAGCCCTCTGGCGGGAAACCGGCGGCCGCGGGAGCTGCCATGCCGCCGCTCGCCGCCCGGGGGCGCCGCGGGGCCGCCGCGCCCGCCCCGTTCCTCGACAGCGGCCGCGCCCCCGGGCCAGCACCGGGCCCACGACCCCAAACCGGGACTGAACCCGCGGGCCCAACACGGGACCGAGCCCGCCGCCCCAAAACCGGCACTGAGCCCGTGATCCCCGGCGGACACGCGACACTGAGACCCCCCCAAAGCCCAGCCCTGCCACAGCCTCCCCCCGCCCCGGCAGCGCGGGACCGCGCCCGCCCCGTCCCGGGCTCGCCCCGCCGAGCCTCGCTCGCTCCTGTGGGGGAGGAAACTTCCCCTTTCGCACAGACCGAAAGGCCAAAAAAGAAGAGAAAAGGATTAACTTGAAAAAAGGCACGGAAATAAAGGCAATTCTAGAAGCCACCCAACGTTTACGCTCTCCTATCCCGGGATGGGGTTTTGATTTGGTTTCTGGTTTTGATTGGGTTTTTTTTGGTGGTTTGGGTTTTTTTGGTTTTGTTTTTGGGAAAGGAAAAAGGAGGAGAAAAAAGGGGGAAAGGGAAAGGAAAGGGAAAAAAGGGAGGGAAAGGGAAAAAGGGAAGGGAGGAAAAAGGGAGGGACAGGGCAAAAAGGGGAAAAGGGAGGCAAAAACGGGTAGGGAAGAGGAAGAAAGAGGAGGGAGAGGAAGTAAAAAGACGGGAAAAGAGGAAAAGCGGGTAAAGAGAAGAAAAGGCGGAAAAGAAAAAGGAAGGAGGGGGAAAGGAAAGGGAAGGAAAGGAAAGAAGGAGATGAAGAAAAAGGAGGAAGGAAGAGAATGGGGGAAAGGGAGAAAAACCGAGGGAAGCGGGTGATATAAGAAGGAAAAAAAAAAAAAAAAAAAGAAAAAGCCATGGGGGCTTAATCCCGAGAGCCGGTGCAGGGAGGGAAGGGAGAGGGGGTGGCCGGGAGGACGTGACCAGGGGGACAATGAGGGCCGGCCCCCGCCCGCTGCCCGCCGCCCCTTTGTGTGGGGACGGGCCCGGCGGAGGCTGCCCGCGGTCCCGCTGCCGTCCCCACACACACACGCCACACACACCGCCGCTCCTTCCCGCCGTCGGAGCTCCCCGCTTGCCCTCCACCGTGCTCTCACTTTTCCTTTGTAACACAAAGGCGAAACCCCTGGCAGCGGAGGGGGGGAAGGCAAAGCCCGTGCCCCAGAAAGTGGACGTGGGTGTAAGAGGGGGCGTTTTGCTCCACTGACCTTGCGATCCTCCTCCTCACCCACTGCCCCCCTTTCCGCAGAGAAAATGTGGCTCGGGGCACGCTGCTCTCCGGCTCTTCTGGAGAGATGCTGAGCACCTCAGAGCCGCTCTGCCCTGCTGCGAGCAGCTTTCCAGGAACATCAGGGGAAGGGATTGGAGGGGGGGGGAAAAAAAATGGATGTGGGGAGCACACAGGAGTGGAGGACACAGAACGCAGGCTTTTCCCAGCGCTAGAAAACTGGTGGCCGTGGGGAAAGGTCCGTTCTCGTCGCTCCTGCCACACGGGCGCTTTGTGTACTTAACACCCGTAAGGAGCAGCTTCCTCCGGTCTCCCTCCGGAGCCCCGTCGCACGCCAAGGTGCGGCTCTACCTTCCCAGCCATCCAAACCACCAGCACCGAACACCCTTGTCAGGGCTCCCACCCCAAAGTCTTCTATTCCCTAGTTTTCTTTGTTCTCCTCTTTGCACCGTTTTTTTTTTTTTCTTTTTTTTTTTTTCTTTTTTTTCTTTTTTTTTTTTTGGTGGGTGCCCGAGCATCCCTCCTTCTCCTATTCCTTCCCCCGCGTGTCGTTGAACTTACCCCAGGTTGTTTAAATTCACCAATCATCGCTACTCCCTCCCGCTTAAGATTTGCAGTTCAAACTCTTTGTTGGTGCAAGCAGTAAAACAATTGTTTTAAATCTTAGACTAGGTGTTTGCTGGCAGTCATAGTATAGAAAAATTGGAGGGGAAATTAAAAAAAAAAAATCACTACAAACCAACCCGCAATAAAAGAGTTATAGTTACCTTAAAAGGTAGCGTATTGCAGAGATAGCAAAAAATCACAACGTGGTGGCTGGCTAGTCCAGAGATCCCAGTGGCCGCATGAAAGAGTAAATCCCCTCGTTAGTGCTGGAAGGAGCCGGTGGTTCCGGGCTGTCCCCTTGTGCCGGAGCTCGGTGTCCCCTCCTTCGCTCGCTTCCCGCCGGCGAGCACCTGACTCCGAGCGGCGGAGCCGGGACCGAGCTGTGGGCAAAGGGAGCGAAGCCTGCAAGTTCAAATGCGAGCCTCAGCCACCCATCATTATTATATCGTTGTACCGTCAGCGCTGCAGAGGAGGGGCGCTGGCTCGGGGAGAGGAGGGTTCACAAGCTCTGCGAGAGCCTCCTTGCAATTTCCAAAGCTCCCGCAGCTGCTGGGCGCAGGAGAGCCCCCAGCGCCTGCCTCCGCCGAGCGGGGCCCCCCCGCCCCCGGCCGCCCCCTCGGGGCTCCCTCCGGCCCCCAGACCCGGAGCGGGGACCCGCAGCCCGGTGCGGCGGGACGGGTCCCTCCGAGCTCGCCCAGAGCCCTCCGGAGAGGGGCAGGCTGGTGCGAGAGGCGCATTGTTCCCCAATTAGACAATTAACCGGGAAGAGAATGGAGAGACCTCCTCCACCCTGGCTCCCGAAGCCGGTTGAAATGGGGAAAGTGACTGGGACCGAAATGCCTTTTTCCCCTTTGCCTCCACAGTCTCAGCGGAGGTTGCAATGAAAGAATAAATTGGTGCTGGTTCCAAACTTCCCCTGCCGATGCCAATTCACAGGCAGCCTCACATCGGCAGCCGCCCGAGCCAAGCTTCTCCACCCATGCATCTCCAGCCACTTTTTTTTTTTTTTTTTTTTTTTTTTTTTTTTTTTTTTTTTTTTTTTAAGATTAGACTCTGCGTTTGCTGTCCAAACCTCTCAGAGATGAAGTCATAAGTGGAACTCTAAAACAGCCTTTTACAAGGGATGTTCACCAGTTAATAAAGGGTCTGGTGTGCTCTCCAAGCAGCCCCATCCCAAAATGTACCTATCTCAGAAGGTGGGAGATGTTTAAGGCACCCTCACCAAGCACAAAATGCTGGCAAGAGCAGCTCCTCTGGCGTGCTCCCTCTCAGAGAAGCAGATGCCAGAAGTCCCCCTCCTCCAGGAAGGTGTAAAGCTGGAGCCAGAAAAGAAAAGCCTGGAGAAATAGGTGTGTCTGATTGCACTGCTCTGGGCACGTTTTTGGCAGCCCCAGGTACAAGCACTAGGAAGAGGCAGAAGGAGTTTTCCTTCAGCTCCTCTCGCTGTTACTGTTCCAGCTGCTCTGTCCCCAGAGTTACGCTGACAGAGGATTTCAGACAAGCCCAAAGCCCTTGTTTCCAAAGACAGAACTGGTGCCAAGTTGGAGGGGTGGGAGGTGGAAGAGATGAGAGCCAAGCAGGGAGAAATGGAGACCTGGAGGCTTAAGCCAGATCAGCTTTGTGTGAGCTGTGGCCTGGGCGAGCGGAGCTGGAGCGCTGGCTGAAAACCTTATCTCAGCTTGCAGAGCTTGTTTGTTTTCCCTCCTTACACGGAGTAAATACACAATTGCTCACTTGGGATGTTGAAGAGAGGCTTCTCTCCCACCAGTGTCACCTCCCAGCAGCACCAGTGCCCCCAGTTCCCCGTGCCTGGGTCAGCCCCTGCATGGTGCACTGCCACACCTAAACACACTGGACCTGCCCCACGCTGGGATGAGGTTTCTCAGCCCTTGAAACTTTCTTATTCCTTGAAATCCTTGAAATCCTTGAAATCCTTGAAATCCTTGAAATCGTGCGTCAGAAGGGTTGATGGAAATACAACACACTGTTTTCAAACAGGCACTATAAACAGTTGGGGGCATGCTTTTTGAGGTGTTTGATGCAAAATCACACAGAGGCTTTGCAGTTCCTGTTTTTGGTAGCCTTGCCTGCCTCACCAGTGTCACTGCTGAGGCAGTGCACACTTCCTCTGCACAGTGTTGTGATGGAAGGAGGATACTGACGTTGAATGTCTCCCACACTGGTTCAAACAAGCCTCTTCTGCCCCTCCAGATGTAAGGGGGTTGGGTGAGACACACGGTGAGGGCACTGCTCCCTCTCCCCACACAATCTCAGCCTTCCCAGGCTGCAGACAAACCCTCTGAAGACGTGTGTGTAAGGCAGCAATGTCTCTGGCCCACTCCTTTTTCTAGGTGAAGAGGTGGGAGACCATCCCGCTGCCATCCTGGCCTCTGGAAAGGAGAGCAGGAAAGGAGCACTGGGTATCTCCCTTTGTCCAGGCCACCCTCCAGGACAAACAAGGAATTTCTAAATGACCAGACACCGCAGTCAAGCTGCCCCTCTAGCCTTCGGTGTCCCCAACTTCCCAGCTCCACCTGCTCCTACTCTGCTCCCTGCCTTGGCTTCAGGTGGGAGGGGTGACATTTAGCAGAGCAGGAGCCACTTCTGCAGCCCTGAGCTTTCTTCTTCATCACCCCGTGACCCTTGTCCACTGGAGACTGAACAGCTGCTCCTGGCAAAGGGTGGGAGGGGGAAAGGGTGGCCCTGCTGTCCCTGCTCTGCTGTGGAGCATCCTCTCGCAGCTGTGGCTGCAGCAGCACAGCTCCACGAGGGGAAGCTGCAGGTTTCTGCTCCCACTGTGCTGTGCTGGTGTCCAGCTGAAGCACTGGCCACCCTTCCAGGGGATGGGGAGATCCTGAGTCTGACCCGAATTCCGAACAGCGAGTAGGGCCGGGGGGCAGCGCAGCTCTCTGCCCTACAAGAAGCAACCAGTAGTTATAGCCCGGGGCTAACCAGCCTCTGGTCGGCTCGCTGCTGGCACCTCTTATTTCTTTTTCACGATGGGGAAGAAAATAGATTATTTCTTTAAAGAGAAAAAACCCTTCCCCCCTCCCCTTTCCTTTCCCACCCCCCGGCTGCCGGAGCTCTGATGGGAACCGGCCGGCCAAAGCCGCTCCGTCTCGGAGCTGGGAAGAAAGCTGAGGATGCCCGCCTTCCTCCTGCTCCTCCTCCTCCTCCTCTTCCTCCTCTCCGCCCGGCGCGGAGCTCCCGGAGCCCCCGCGGAGCCTCGGGGCCCCGGGGCTGGAGGCGCGGAGCCGCAAGGAGAGGAGGCGGGCGGGGGGCTCCGCGCTCCCCCCTGCCCTTCCCGCGGTGGGATGGAGCTTTCTGGGCACGGGGGAGGCTTTGGGGCTGGCCAGACAAAGGCACGGGCGGAGGTGGTCGCAGGGCTCCTGTGGAGCTGGGAAGGGAGGGATGAGGAACTCCTCCTGGGCATCCCCAGCCCGCCGGGGAGAGAAAACCCCGGAGGAAGGAGGGTGTGTTACACCGGAGACCCTTGGAGGCTTTTCGGGATGACTGGGAAAGTGAGGAGCGGATCGAGCTGGAAAAACAGACCGCTGCAGCCCCTCGGTGTTTTCATCTCATTTTATTTAACCCTCCCCACCTTCCCCGGGGGCCAAGCTTTCTGCACTGAACCAAAAAACTGTCCGGAAAGGGGATCTCCTTTCCTCCTCTTGGAGACCACGCAAACTGCCTCCATGGGTTATGTCAGGGGCCTGAAACGTTGTCTGATTTACTGTGAATGTCAGATACTTTTCTTTGTAAATATTTTAGGCAAAGTAGAAACAGTAAACCTTTGCTCAGGCTGCCAAAGTCTCCCATGACAAATCATTGTTTTCAGATGTTCGGATTTGTGTGAGAAAACCCAACAAAAGGAAAAATGTTTAGGCTTTGTCTCCATCCTAAAGCAATATCACTAGAGAAAAAAAAATAATCCTCCCAGCTACGTCGTAGTCCAGAGATGAAGAAAAATACTATTTTCATTACACACTTCTTAAGCACAGGTTTTATGTTACTGACTCAACAATGATTATCATTTTAAATGTGAAACACAGGCCCTAAATGGTTCTTTATGAGAAACCATTGTTTTCAAATATCTGAAATTAATTAGACCATGGCTACAGTCAATGTGCAAATATCAAGCTGAACATCTGTGGAAAAAAAGCGCTTCCCATCACTTGAAAGAATATTGTGGGTCTGAAACACAGTCTCTCAAGGAAAATCTAATTTGTCTGGCATAGGCTCTCTTAAGCTATCTTTTGTGGCTTCACGATCACCTTTTCTTTGTCTCTTCTGTGCTTTTTTTTTTCCTCCTGAGCTGCTGTGTGTGAAAAAAAACTTTACATAAAAGTAAAGGAAATAATTCACACAATTTACATGTCAGCAGCACTAAGGTCAGTTTGAGCGAAATTAAAGATCCTTTCAAAGTTATTCCACCTGGTCAGTGGCTCTGAAGGTCCAGCTTCCCACTCCCATCTACTTGCAAAGGGTTGTGCCATGGCAGCTGTGCTGAAAATGAGTCCATTGCCCCAGTTTGCCTCTCAAGGTACAGATATGTAGGCTGCTTCATTATTCTAGAGTGATTCAGCTATCTAAGCCCCAATGTGTTTTCAGAAACCACAAAATCTCCCAAAACAATAGACTTTTTGCAAGTTCTCAGATTCCATGTTTAAGAAAAGCTTTTTTTTCCCTCCCCAGTACTTCTCTTTCCTACGCTTCAAGTGAAATATGTTTTCAGAGGCAAATTAAAAATCTCCAAAGGAGTCAGGCTCAGCAGCAGTGGTAACCATAGTGTACACAACCGCTTTCTCAAACAAAACACTTGATGGCTTATGTCAATGTTTCTTTTGTGGCAAAACCCTTCTCCACCTATTTTTACACCATATTTCTTCAGCAGAGGGGAGAGCACTCAGCTACGAAAAACCATGAATAGAGTGTTTCATTTGGTAGCAGAACAAGCCACAATTGATGGTTAGGTATTATTTCTGCATTAAATGTAATGATGCAGACACGGCGCTATCTGCACTCAGATAGTCGGTTTCCAGGACAGGATTTATCAGGAGAAGGTCCAGGCTTTCAGCAGCACTGGATGATGATGGCAAAGGCAATGATGTTTTCCTCCTGTGTTCTGATGCTGCCTTCTGTTCTGACTCAGTGTTTCTGCCTTGACTCCAAGGACAAGGGGCCAGACTGGGATGTTTTATGTTTCCACAGCTAATCCCCCCAAAAGCTGTGTCAGGAAGCTGGTGGTTTTTGGTTCTGGCTGGTGTAAGTGTCAGGCTGTGTCTCCAGGTCAGGCTGAAAGAGCAGCCTGCTTCCCACAGCTGGGTCTGGCTCCTCAGAGAATGGCAGCTTTGTGATTTTGGGGAGGAGTGGTCAGTGTGGGCAGGTCACCACC